TCTGCTGAAAGGCTTAGGTTATTTAACTTACTTTATCCTTTTCTCGAAAGACATAATGAAAAACAGGCGTACTTGGACTCGAAACCTCAGTGTTAAACATGGGAGAGCATTGCCTTCACCACTAGCCCAGCAGAACTTCTGGCAATTTTGAAAGTGAATAAACAACTTAGTATAAATAATTGAAGATTTTGCAAGGGCGCGAAGCGCCGCACTAAAGTCGAGATTATATGAGAACACAAAAGTGAGATATACTGAACACTACTTTATTCTTCCAACTCGCAAAACAGCTGATGAAGACTTAGAAGCAATAAGAAAAATTGAATGTCATAGCTAGGTAACCTAGCCGTATTCTCTTCAGTTCGAATCAGCAAGTACAAACAAAACTTTGTTACAAACAAGTATATAAAAATATCTTTCAAATATAACTTAGACTTATTAGAAATAATGACGTTCATGAAAACGATAACAGTACAAACATCACCCTGATTATCTTCCATCCTCCAGTGTATCCTCCAGATTATCCTCCATCCTCCGAAACGCGTACGGTGATGCCACACAACCTAAAGAAAAAACGAATCCGCGTAATTTCCCCCTATTGTTATAATTATCTCACTTCTGTGTTCTTATATAAACTTGGCTTTACTGCGGTTCAAACACGGAAGCTCGATATAACAATGCTTGTTTAAAGCCAGACAACCAAAACTATACATCCAAAACTCTCGCCCGAAATCAGTGATATAGGCAGAGATAAGACAGTCCTAGCATAAACAAACGCTATCGAAAACTGGGCGATAGTAAAAGCGAGTAAAGGTAGAATTAAGTCCTCGACCAGTCAGCCATCTTGATTATTTCCTTCAGAGTTGAATGCTCTTTAAATACTGTGGTATCTATTCCCGCGCTAACGAGGATTGACCTATGGACGACTTGCGCTTTAGACTAATTTTTGATCGAAGTAACTAGAAGAAAATAAATCATCACAGCTAGAAAGATTTTACTTAAATAAGTGAGAATGCAAAGTTTGGCTGCAAAATTTTGTAAAATACGGGAAATATAGCAATTAGGGAAATTTTGTATACTTTGGTATTACATGTGGAAATGTGTAACTAATTTAGTTACAAACTTCCGGCCGTAATACAAAAGTATACAAAATTCGTGAACTTCGCATGGCTATATTTTGCGTAATTTACAACAACTCGCAGCCAAACTTGGCAGTTTCACTAATTTTAGTAAGCTCTTTCAGAAAATATCCTTTTTATCGCCGAGGTAAGAAATTAGTTTAAAGAACAAGTCGTCCATTGAGGCCTATGGAAACTGATCAAGAGCTGGTTAGGAGTGGTAGGACCCAAACCTGGTCTAAGTAAGCTAGTGCGCGCAATATAACACTGCAAACAGCGGAGCACACAAAGGTTTGCACAATCTACATACTTCGCGAAGAATACTGACGTCACGACTGAAAATGTTTTAGTCATCTCAGGTAACTGGAACTCGACACTTTCAGGCAATATACGCATAAAGCGCAAGTCGAGAAGTTTAAGCTCGGAAGAGCGCCGAGGAGCGGTCAGGGCAAAAAAAATAGTTATCTTCTGCGTAAGTAATTTAATGACAAAGCATTTCGAGGGAGCGAGCGCAAATAGATTAAGACGACTTCTACGCTCCATGCCTGCTGATAGCGCGGCAAAGCAGGTCGTGAGTTAAGAACACCCTTGAGCAAACGAATAACGAGTGGGTGTTGTCCCACCGAGAAACCGTCAATTGGTGGGAGGACGCCCGACAAAGCGGAGCGATATGTATTTATCGTCCGGTATGCCCTGTATTTATCCTCCAAGCCCTCGTTGAACGAATGAGCCAGAAATCCAGTTATATCGGCTAAAGAGGGACGAAATGGATCAGCTTCCCGCCTGAGACACCAGCTATGCCATTTTTTCCAGGCGGAGTTATAAATCGCGTTTGTGCCTGGCCGCCACGCTGCAAGGATGAGCTTGGAAGCGTCTGCACAAATGCCGTCCGAGCGCAAAGATTGCTGGATTCATGCGAAGTGGCTAGCTAAAGGGTCTGATTCGCAAATAAAGGATGTATTTCCTCCCGAGGGCGCAGCAGGAGCTTGTGGCTCATGGGAAGAAGAACTGGTAGGGACACTGGCAGATCCAACAAGCTGGGGTACCAAGCTTTTGTGGGCCACACAGGTGCAAGTGGCATCAACTCGGCCCCTTGTCCTCTCAATTTCGCTAGTGATCGCATTATGAGGCAAAATGGAGGAAACGCATAATTCTTCTCCCTCGACCAATCCTGTTGAAGGGCATCCGAGGCTATGGCCATTGATGTGAAAGCTGTACTTCATCTGAGACCACAGCCCTCCGGTTTTTACCCCTAGACACACCGCTCGAGATCTATTATCTGGCGTATCCCCAAGCGAAGAGCGACATGCAACTGGCTTCATCACCTTTGTAAACACGCGTGGAGCAGCCGAAGGGCAGGTACGTAGATTTTAGGAGAGTATCTTTCCAAGCAAAGCGAAGGTACGTCCGGTGATCTTCAAATTGGAATCACGAAGTAAGCATCCTTTAGGTCGATCTTCCAAATTTCGATGTCGATTTTCTCTGATTCTATGTGCGAGAAACGAGGAGGGGCCCCTGGCCCCTGGAACACAGCTGCCGCTGCAAACTCAATGATCGGCTCGGCAACCGAATCATACTTATATCATTTCTTCTTTGATATTAGAAACTGAAGAAAACTACTTTAATGCCGTAAAAAATACTGCTTTTTCTTGATACCTTTCGTGGAAATTTTATGGAAATTTAAACATGTTTTTTGTGGAATTTTTGTTCAGTATGTATTTTTATGGTAATTCCAGCCTTACTTGATGGAAATATCACATTTGAAAGTGGAAGCACTGATTTGCACCCCAATTGTCTGCTAACTTACTCGCTCGCTCCAGCGCTCGCTCGCTGCGACAGCAATTAGGATTTGCTGCTTTGCTTGCTCGTGCCAGGCTCGCTCGTTTCGGCAGCAACAAGCGTATTTCTTGCGCAATTAACGACCCACACTCTAGATCGGAAGAAAATCACATCAACCGCTTTGCCAAATCCATTGTTAGTAATCTGGTAAAAGTTATAATTCGGGCACATTGTATAATTCAAAAATTCGGGTGATGATTGCGCCCGTACGCCTATGAGCTGCTCGTGGATGTGCAATTCATAGACACAATGGCAGTTGTATAAGTGTAACTACTAGGCGTCATACTGACTAAGGAGACTCCGTTAAAACACATTATTTAAAGACATTTAATTGCCAATACTGGAGTTACTGATTTCCGTTTCTAATATTATTTTAGCACATATCGTCGAACTAAAACACTGCGTGCCAAAGCATTGTAGGTATATACTTCCGAAAGAATGTCGCCCGAAATTGTTGGGGAATAAATTTCTTTGTGTTGAACTTATATTATCATTATAATTATGTGCACAATTACAATGTTGAATAATGTTTCAAATGATAGCGTAATTTGCGAATCATAAATCACGCGATCTGCTACCATTTGAAGTTCAACTAGATTCAACCAACGCGGCAATGTTCTATGTTATTTTAACCCCGGTAGGCGTTATTTTGAGATAAATTTAACACCATATTGGAGTTAAATTTATGTAGTGCAACTGGAGTTAGAGGGCATGTATACATTAGTCGTTACGCCATTCATACGACCAACAATGTTGGACAGTATATATTCAATTTATACACGCAATTTTAGTTTAAGCTCTTACACATTATATGAATCATGAATCATTTAACAACTCAAAGTTGATAAGAACTCTCAATTGTCAATCACAAAGTTATTGACTTTCGTGTGTATAGAGCTATGATACTAATTTTCGCACATACCGTCAAACTAATTTAGCGTAATTCCTATACTTCCTTATATACAGTACTAAATTGCAAAATTAAATGATCTTTTCACGATGAATACCAGATATGGTAGACGCATCGAATTTCAGTTAGAACTTGTATACTTTATATATACTATATAATTTATAGCCTTTTCTATTCAATCGAATATTCTCACAAAATTTCAATCATGCGGAAGTAAACCGGAAGTCGAGCGATCTTTGCGAGGAATGTAGAAAAAAATACATGTTCGCCTGGCGCACACGATGTGATTTTGACTGGCCGACGAAAAGCGATTTACTAATACCGATTTTTTGCCCCGACCGATCTTCATCGCTGAAAAAGTTTTTAAAATGATCATGCACATTGGGTTTCCAGATATATTGATTAGATAAATTCATTTATGTTGTTGCGTATATATCGTTTAGTGTTAATGGGTGTTAACTCAACCCGAACAGTGTTATTTGCCACCAACGACGTATATAAAATATCTAACCGTTCTTTTTTCTTAAAAGCCATGAGAATTACTGAATTTGTTTAGAACGGAAAATGAAGCTACATTTCAACTTATATAGAAAGGAATAATTTAGAAATTCACCCAGGATGTGTTGTCAAATTAATCATAAAGAATGTTTTTGATAGAGTTATAATGTTTAGAGTTAAAGGTAATCAGATCAATCAGATCAGAGTTCAAACATCCTTTCCATTGGGCTTGATCTTCCTGCTCTTTGTTTCTCAAGATTTCTTATTCTAAATAATAGCATTTTCTAAATTTTTCCTTTCAAAATAAATTTGACATGACATTTTAAATGACGTACTTTTACTATTCACCCAATCCTACAAGACTTCCTTGTAATTAACTTATTAGCATTAAGTATTCAGCTGAACTAGCGCCAATAGAGCCAGAATTAAATAATTACGTAGCTGTTCCATTTTACGTATAGCCTACAAATTATCCTTTTGCATTTGAAAATTTTCATATTTGCGCTTTCCTTCGCATCGCACAGAACTACGTTGTTTAGTTGCTGTCTTTATCATGGCAAGACGCATATTTTATATTGCGTTATATGCTTTGATTCACAACGAAATATTACTGATACGAGCTGATACGTGCACGACACATGACGATTGCGCGGCAAACTGGTTCTATAAGTATTGCTGTGGTGGATGGCATTCGTGGACTAACCCCAAAAAGCGAGAATGCAGACTTCTCGACTGTACTGGCAACTATTGTGACACCGATGCCCATTGTGGCGATTCGCAGCTATGTTGTCGCTCAAATTGGTGCGTTTCTAAAGGTTGCTCCGGATGCACCTCGAACTCGGACTGTAGTTCTGGTTATGTGTGCTGTCGCAGGAATGGTGTCTGCGCTTCGAGTTGTTTGGGAGAATCTTGCAGCAACAATGATGACTGCGGTGGAACATTTGAATGTTGTCATGGCGATAAGTGTATACACCTAATAGACAAAAGCCTGGGATGTATTTTGAGATGTAGAAGCAATTCCGAATGCAATTCGGGGGAATATTGCTGCAGGAAAAAAGCGGTCTATCCTTTTCAAGATCGTTGCAGCCAATCCTGCCGTAACGTTGACTGTAAATTGAATGATGATTGTGGCCCACCTAACGAATACTGCATCAGCGGAAAATGTGCGGAACCAAAGTGTAGTAGTGACTCGGACTGTACACGAAATCGTTATTGTTGTAGTAAAAGCTCAAAACAGAACAGCGAGTGCCTTGATGACTGCATTGGAGAATATTGTTCTTCAACAGCTGACTGCGGTGGTCCAAGTGAAATTTGCAGCTCCAACAAAAGATGTGCATTTAAGCAGACACCTCCACCACCACCTCCACCACCTCCGCCACCACCTCCGCCGCCACCTACCCCAGCACCTACCCCAACACCTACCCTAACACCTACACCCCTATCCCCATCTACATCCCCACCTACACCCCCATCTAAACATCCAACCAACCAACCAACACCCCCATTAACAGCCACGGAGTCCAATTCACGGAGCCACACAACCGCTACACAACTAAATTCCTCACACCTACCAAAGGAGTCTGAACCTCTAAGCTCGTCGAAGTCAACACCAACACCAACAAGCTCCAATCTGACAACCCTATTAACCCCCACAGTGTCCAATCCAACCCAAAGCAATGGGGAACCATGTAATACAAACGCTGATTGTAGTTATCCTGCAGAGATTTGCAACTCTAGAAAAAAGTGCGAAGCGAAGCGGGAAACCTTATCAACAACCATTAAAGTTAAGCCCTCAGCCCCACCAACAACCACAGAGTCCTACTCTTCAATCCCACCATCACCAACAACAACGAAGCCCAATCATTCAAACCAATTAAAAACCAGCAGTTCTAGTTTCTCGAACCTGCAAACACTCACAAAGTCCTATTCTTCAACACCACCAGCAATCAGATCAAGTCCGCCAACACAAACAGAGTCCAAATGGGTATCCTCACAAACACCATCAGACCCTGATACAACATTCCAACCAGTTCCAAGCAGGCATGAAACCTCTAATCCACCAAAACGCACAGAGTCGAATCCTTTACCTCAACAAACCCAAAGCAATTCAATCCCATCAACTCAACCAATGAACACAAAATCCGATCACTCAAAGGCATCAAAACCCACCAAACCCAAAAGTTCAATTCATCCAACAACCATTAGGTCTAATCCCCCCTTTTCACAAACATTAACAAAGTCTTCTCACTCAACTCTACCAGCATCGATCACTCACCAGTCCAATCCCTTATCCCTAGGAACACCCAAACAGTCTAATCCCTCATTCCAGCCAACACCAAGCAAGTGGTATTCCTATTCATCCAAATCAGCCATCTCTGAGTTCAGTTTCCCAACCAAATCAATCCCCACAAAGCGTGATCTCACATTTACGGAAAAAGAAGCAGGCAGGAGGGACGATGACGAATCTCAGTCTTTCCCGGTGACTAGTGTGATCGTTGTCGTTGTTGCAGTACTAACTGTTGTTGGCGTATCCATTGCCGTCTTCGCGTATTATAAAGGAAGATTTCGCGGCGCAACACATGAAAACAACGGCAAAGTGCGATCAACCCCACAAAACATCCCAAATCCATACACAACAAACGTAAATCCACAAACTGCCACCGGGCAATTTGGAACCAACTATGCACCGCAAAAAGGGACGGGAAATGGTATCAATCAGCATGAAGACCACCACTACGAGATTCCTGATTTCACTCATTACCCCTGCACTTAATTTATATACCGATATGTAAAGAAAAAAGAGTCAAAATAGTGGACTCTTCGTTTATACTACTAACTCTTAATAATAACATTTTACCCAGCTTCATGAAGAACTTTGTATAATTTTTGATATAATATATATAATTGATATATATCCTCAATTTCAACAGTAGTTCTAGAGAATATGATTAAGAACGTATATACCAATTCGCAATATTGTTGCCCAGGAAATTGTGGGCGAACAGGAATTTTTGATATTTATAAGAATACACAGTTCATGCAGCTATTTTTTCTCCTATAAAATAGAATTATAATAATATATCCATACTTATTTTCTTATATGACACTAATTCGTTGGTGAATAAAATCGTAAAATTTAAAAGAACTTCGTCAAGATCTTTTGGGAAATAATTTTCAATGCATGTACGAGTTTCTTGTCAAAATAGAGCCCTATCAGACTTTATCCACTTTTTTGGCATTTTTTCCGCTATTTTGCTTATTTTGGCCAAAACATTAGTTGTAATGCAGTACTCCTCTCAACCAATCAGCATTCGGTAATTCTATTAGGCTTAGTAATTGAAGTCAAAATTATTCATAGCAAGTGAAAACAAATAACTAAACAAGAGAAGTTTGAGACTATAACAGGAATGGTTTGTGAACTAACATCCAATCTCTAAACTTGTTTGAATGGCCTTATGGGCTTTGTTAACTGTATTTGGTCTATTATATATAGTTATCCTACGAATAACTTTTTTTCATTCAGACAACCTTTGTCTCTATTTTTGCCTTCTTTTTCCAGTACAATAACAAGCTTCTAGTTCTATGTAGGTTGCAATTGCTAGCAATATTTTCACGGTTTAGCCAGAGAGAGTTTGTTGGGGGTTTTAGATGAATGTCAACGATCTACAGACTTTACCTATAAAATTGTTTGTAGAAATTTTGCTTGTAAAATTGTTTCACTATTACGCAATCAGCTCAATTTGCTAATTGGAAGTTTATTTGCAAACGAACTAAGTGAAGAAATTCTGGCAAGAGTATAAAATATTGGATAAGAAAAGTGTGGTACGACTAGATTTTGATAAACAATTATCATGATTGCATGGAAATTATGTCCTAAAAGAGCCCTAAAATAAAATTCTTCCCAAGTGCAATTGATCACTCATGCTAATAATAAACAATATTATTCCCTATTAATTTTACCCTAAGAATTGGGAATTAAAAGTACTCCTGAAGTTTGAAAATTTTGTTAAATTGAATTCAGTCCAGCCGCTTGTCCAACTTTGGCCAAACTTTCAAACAACATCTAATTGGGCCATTAATCCCAGATTGTACTCGCTATCGCACGATTATACCTATACTAATCACGCCATAAAAGCGAAGACCTTGTCTTGATTTCGAATTGACCCAACTGCAATATAATTATGAAGCCATACAAAACTGTAGACCGTTTCCCAGTTGACTTAAAAATTCCGATATATTTGTTTTTTCAAAAAGTTTATAAACCTCTTATTAATACTTTTATTAATAAGGTGTTTCTATAAGTATATTGATTCCTTTTCAAGTGCTCCGAAAACGAGGGAAGGGGCTGGGACTAAGCGTCATTTGAGATCCATTCCTTGGTTAAAACATTTTCATATCCCTTCAAATATTCTTTATTTCGGTTGAAATTTATGTTACAGCTATAGCTCTGATAACCGGGCCTTCATCAGTGCATGCAATAACGAACCGAAGGCTGTGCAGTATTAAATACTTACGTGGTTTACTATAATTTACTTATTGATGTCACCACGCAAACTTACAAGAATATTATATTTGAAAGGTTAAATCAGTTCAAAAATTAAAATTGGATTCTATTCCTACTCCAGTTATTCGAAAAGATAAAATGTTTAAGAAGAATAAGCATTTTTGTCTCTGTCATTAGTTCGCTTGAATTTTTACCTAGGCGAACGACAGATGTTCAAGAGTCGTGAAGGGAGTTGTAAAGAGATTTTAATTTCAATTGGCAATTAAAAACATCCTATTTTTAATGTAGGTGTCGATCAATATCGAAAATGAGATAGAGGTTAAAAGAACACCTATTATACTACTAAATTGCTTTTAAACCCAAGTGAGCAATATCAAAATCGATTGTTTCGAAATATATATATCGTCAAGACATGTCGTCGTCTTGTGTGAAGTGTGGTCTGCAATAACGAGTCGATCATCTCTCTGCAGCAAGAATAAAATTTTTAAACAAAACAGCGAATTCCGCTCAGCATTTAGCCATACGTGTTACCTTCAATTCCAAATTAATTGACTGAGTGACTTTTGATCCTTATGCAGATGCATAATTACAATATCGATTTAAGGGAAACGTTTAGTGTATACCACTTAGTATAGAATCGAAATGCATAACATCCGCAATCTGCCTCGTAAATAATTGGAGCCCCATGGTACGAGAAAACGTTATATCGATATGCCGGCTTTTTGCGGAGGCATATGACATTTCCAAAAGTAAACACAATAGAAAAATAATTTTAATTCGCGCCTAATTTAATGTAAATCATTAACGAAAAGCGCAAAATTCACTAAAAGTAACTTAAAGAACACACAAAACCTAATTACGCGCAATGAGCATGCAATATATTAGAATATTGCTCTGATCGATATATTGAATAATTTTATACTGAACACTGCATAGGACATATATCCATGTACTGCACATATATATGATTGTGTCTTATATGCATATATATATACAATGCAAAATATAACTCCAACCAACTCCGTAGGGAGTGGATTCTCTTTCTGCGGCAAGCATGAACTTTTCCAATGGCGCAGCGAATCATGATCAGTATTTAACAAATTGTCACCTCAATTCAGCAAATCACCTGCTGCTTGTAGAGTTTCCCTCAAAGCTTGCATTTTCGATTTTTTTTACAGCTTGCATACTTAGTGTCATCATCTTGGTAACAACGATATGCCTGAATTTGTTGATCGTGCTGACATTCTGGCGGACCCCTCGCCTGAAGGAAAAGGTCTCCTTATATCTTGTCATGATTCTTTCCATGGTGGATGCTGGAACAGGAATATTTTGTTACCCGACACTGACGTTATCATTGGCAACTGATTTGATAGGCAACCCACAGTGTTGGATAGCTCACGTCCAATCAAGGCTATTCATGTTTACAAGCTTACTCTCGCTTTCGATCGTTTCCACCAGCAGCACAGAACGTTACCTTGGCGTGGTTTATCCATTTTTTCATCGCGCAAAAATTACTAGGGATAAAGTGTTAACATTCTTGCTTTGTTACTGGTCGATTTGTGGCTCAATCCTGTTGCTAGATGTTTATGTGTATAATTCTTTGAACGTTTTCACAACGTGCAGTTGTACATTGTTCATTCTGAACACGGTTCGTGCATACATGATAATTGGTTTAGCTGTCATACGTTCAAAAATAAGACCACGGGAAGGAGAGAGACACGGCAATCTTAACAGAGAAGGTCGAGAAAATGAAATTCGAAGAAATCTTAAAAGAAAACTGAACTTTCTGAAAGAGCTAAGACATTCATGGTCTTGCTGTCTAATTGCCTTTAGCTATTTGCTATGTTACACACCAACAATAGTTCTTTTCAGTGCCTTGAAGAAGCATTTATCGGAGTCAACTTTCTATATGGCCTCAAGATGGTGTTTACTGCTGGTGATGTGTAATTCGATTCTCAACTCTGTCATCTTTTTCTGGCGCAGTGCAACGTTAAGAAAGGAAGCACGAATTGTACTTAAAAACATATGTTCTAACAGACTCATCTGAAAATGCACGAGTAGTGAAAACGGCTATAGCAATAAAATGATAATTCGCGATCGAGATGCGAATTTTTAAAAGTTTGCACGTTTCAATTATTATAGCTACTTAAGTTATATATCTGTATAAACTACAAATGAAAAATTCCTGCATGTCGTATAATTGCTTGCAGATCATATACGACTTGTATATATAGTAGTGTATATAGTGTTTCTCGTCACCTGTAATATAAAGAATCTTGGAGTGTATTTTACCAGCTTCACAATACAAAGTTTTATTTAGAAAACGCTTCTAAAATCATACTTTGATATATACTTAAAGAACGTTTTGGCGAAATGTTATATCATACTTTGTCAGATGTAGAACTTATAGCTTGTTTTTCCAAAATCCTTTTCCGCTTGTTACGTAGGGTAGCTGTAAATGACTGAGTGAATAGATAGAAAAAACATCAATGTGTTCCACAACCTACTAGTCCATAATTATACAACAACTCAATAAAAAATCAATACATGCATCAATGAGCCACTCAATACTGCGAATCCACTCATAGTAACAGCCTAACAGATAAGCCCATTTGTTTCTCAAACTGCACAGAATTCCCTCTTGCATCAACTTGCATGTTTCCTAGAAAGGCCCGAGGCAGTTTACTTTGGAAAGGACTTTGTGGCCTGTTGCATTTCCTATAATAGTGTATAGTTGTTACTATAGGTAATTGGTATATACTGAATTTATTGTCGACTCGAATAAAGTGTGACTTATAAAGTGAAATGTACTTAAGTACTGAAACATGTGTTCATGTTAATTGCCCTGAGCTCTGCACATTACTGCATCAGCACAGCCACATGCAGATGTTGGGAATTTATAGCATGTGAAAAATAGGGAGATCCGAGCATGCACAAATATAACACCAACCAATTAACACTGCATTAACCTATATAATTTTTAACCTATATAAATACACAGGTCACAGGGCGTATGAGAAAGCGCAACCTCTTTGGTCTTTTGTGATCGAATAGAAAGCAATTATCATGAATATTTAGTGTTGCATTTTTTTGTGTACAATTTTGCCGATAATATACTGTAATTATGAACACGATGCATGGATTAATATACGTATACGTAATAAATGCATTAGGGCAGTTAATTAAATGTAAAAATTTGTGCACAATATTTCTCGGTAAAGACCTCGCGCTCGGTTAATGAAGAGTTAGCAATATTAGAGTGTGCTCTATCCGCGGTTAATGAGAAGTTAGCAATATTAGAGTGTGCTCTATCCGCATTTAAACAATTATATGCATTCATGCAGGGGTCGAAAACAAAATTGATTTAGAGGAAAACGCTTTAGGATTATCACATCTACATGCGTCAATTCAATGTCTCAATATCGGAAATTGCATAATTCTTTTGAGAAAATCGTCAGAAAAACTCTTATAAAGAAAACCTTTTAACCAAATTGCTCTTCACCGCAAACGGGCAATATACCAGAATGTTTCGAGTTATTGAACGTTAGCACTAGCAGTATATATATATTGCAGTTCTCCTTTTTATCTCCATCAACGAGTGCACGGACTTTCTGGGACAAGCATGAACTCTTCAGACGACACAGCAAATCATGTTCAGCATTTAGTTACGTGTTACCTTAATTCCGATGACCATCGACTAATTGTATCGTTTCCATCAAGCTCTGCATTTTCGATCTACCTTACTGCATGTATACTTAGCGCAATCATCTCGGTAGCAACGATATGCTTAAATTCGTTGATCGTGCTGACATTCCGGCGGACCCCTCCTCTGAAGGAAAAGGTTTCCTTATACCTCATCATGATTCTTTCCATGGTGGACGCCGGGACAGGAATTTTCTGCTACCCGACACTGACGTTATCATTGGCAACTGATTTGATAGGCAATCCACAGTGTTGGATAAATCACGTCCAATCAAGGCTATTGATGATTACAAGCATGCTCTCCCAATCAATCGTTTCAACTATTAGCACAGAACGATATCTGGGCGTCGTTCATCCATTCTTTCATCGCGCAAAAGTTACAAAGGATAAACTTTTGAAGGTCTTGCTTTGTTTTTGGTCGATTTGCCCATTAGTGTTGGTGCTAGATGTTTTTGTCCATGATGCATTTAAATATTTCACAACATTTAGCCTTGCGTCGCTCGTTCTGAATACAGTATTCGCATACACGGTGATCGCTTCGGTTGTGATGCGTTCAAAGTTGAGACAATCGGAAGGACAGATACACGGCAATCTAAATAGGGAAGGTCAAGATACTGATGTTCAAAGAAAAAGTCTAAAGGACAAACTGTACTTTTTAAAACAACTAAAATTAGCAAAGTCTTGCTTCCTCATTGCTCTCAGTTATTTGATTTGTTACATGCCAACGCTGATTCTCTTTGGTACCATGCACAATAGTCTTGCAGACGTAACTTTTTTTATTGCTTCACGATGGTGTTTACTGTTTTTAATGTGTAATTCTATTGTCAATTCTGTCATATTTTTCTGGCGCAGCGCAGGGTTAAGGAAAGCATCCTCAGTCGTTCTCAGAAGTATATTTAACTAAGGTCTAACGTTATAGGCCTATACCTATATATTGTTACTCACCCGAAGTAAAAATTGGTTGTCGTTAATCTATGGCATATATGTAAATGTTGATTGCTAAAAAATATTTAGGATTTAGGAAGTCTTTTCGGTATAATTTCAAAAGCTTATAAGGCTTTGAAACAGTGATAATTAATGAAACCTATCAAATGGGACGAGGCAGCCAATAGCCAAGCAGCTACGCCGTGGTATAGCATTTTTTTAATGTTTTCCTCCATTTGTTGCGCAAATCCAAATCATATTTCTAATGCATAACAAATCAACATTTCGAAAAATGAATTTTGCAAAATGAATAATTCGAGTTTGAATATGGATCATAATATATTGTTTGCATGCGCAGTTGCTCTATAAATGGTCCATCAGACGCATATATTTATTGCTTTGTTTGCCTTATTTACTGCATTTCTTTATAACTCTTTCCATCAACTCAAATGTCTTCACATTATATGGAGTATATAGGCTATTTAAGTATATATAAACTACCTGTATCTGTTGATAATTAACGTATTATAGAAAAAGGTGTTATCTGTAATACCCATAAGGATGTTTTCGTAATTAAAGTACAAAGCTTAAAATGTTAGGTTTTTTTCATCTAGACCTTTTCGCCGCTGATATTGCCTCCAATACTGTAGTTCTTCAATCTTTTTACCATAACAAGCAAAAATTTCCTGATTTAAGAAAAATTGTTTTCTTAAAACAAGAATATATTTTCTAGATATGCATGTTTTCTTAGCGAGAAATTATTTCTTGCTATTCTCCCTTGAAAAATGTTCTTATTGCAAGATAAAAAATCTTGAAATGAGTTCTTTTTTCCTCTAAATAAGAAAGTCACTTTTGCTGCATATAATGCTGTAGTCTATAAAACATGATGCCAAACAATCTCATAAAAGAAAGTTATTTTATACTTAATCGAAAGCGACCATAACTTCGGACATCAACTTTATGAAGCTAAATCGTAGGGAATACTCAATGTTTTTTCATTTTGAATTTCATTTCTTACTTAACCAGTGGTTGTTGGTAAATAAATTTGTTTTAAATTAAAAGAAGTAAATAATTGATATAAATTCATACAAGACCTGGTTTCCCTATATTCCGTTTAAAATCCGTATCGTTATGTTTCAAGCTATATAGCCGGTATTTCTCATTCGCCCCGCGTTAAAAAAATAATGTGAACAAAACGGCAAAACGAAAACAACATATACGGCTAAAATGTAAGAAAACCCTTCTGAAAGAGACTAAAATTTATTCGTGTCCCATTGGCATTTCTGCATAGTGTAATTGTTATGTTGCATGTGATTGCGATATATTGAAGTTGTTCAAGGCGCCTGCATGGAATATAACGTGAGATCTTTATTGCATGCTAAATGCACAAGATGTACTTAGTGAATCATCAAACTCGAATAACATGGTATGAGAAATTGATTTTTTATATCTAGTGGACTTTAATTAATTTGAGCTTTGCACTTGTATAAGTTATACATGCGCATGTAGGGCATTTATATAGCATTTGAAAGAGATATCCGAACATGCACAAAATATAACTCGAACCAATTAACACTTTGATGCATTAACCTATACATACAGGGTGTATAAAAGAAACGCAACTATACTTTAATATTCTCATGAATATTCGATCTTTTGTGATCGAAAAGAAAGCAATTATTCGTTAATACTGATTTAGTGTTTGCCTTTTTTACACATCCTCAATAATTATAGCTATAATGCTGATGAACACGATGCATGCACTACGTAGATACGTAAAAATTCATTAGCCATTAGGGCAAATTAATTGATGTATAAAATTTATGCAATATATCACTTCACAATCCGGACCTGCACGGGGCCGGTTGTACAAAGGCTGGATATCGCTATCCACCGGATAGTAATCTTTTCAACGCTTCTAATAAATGCTCGAAAAGTGATAAAATTTCATCTTTGAGACCAACAATTCTTAAAGAGGATCCTTGATTTAGGAATACTAAGATTTAATCAAAGTTATACCCAACAACGGGCGATTTTAAAGCGATTGAAAAAACTATATATCCGGTGCATGGATAGCGCTATCCGGCTTTCATACAACCGGCTACAGTATTGTAACAGTGTAACAATGAAATCACGATTCTAATAAACAACAAGAGTAAGATTTTCGAAAGACATATTATATTAAGAAATCTTCTGGTGAAATTGCTATCGACTGATTAATTGCTGATAAAATAGCTATCGAGTCATTTTGCCATTCGCATAATTGCAATATCAATAAAAACGTTTAAGTCCTGCAGTATATAATCGCATCAGTTTCGGTGCAAAATTTACATTGAAACCGTACGATATATATAAGCGGATTTCTGTCCGCATTAAATAAGGAGTCATTCAGGCGTCGAAAACAACATTGCATAGTTAAACGGAAAACGCTTCAGTCTCTTTACATCTATATGCTTTTTACTGGGCTGGATAGTATTTTCGTGAGCCTACACTATGCCTTAGGCTATTCAATGTTTCAATATCGGAAATCGCATAATTCTTTTAAAAGACTCGTCGGGATAAAGTAAGGAAGGTTTATTAACTAAATTGCATTTCACCGCGAACGGGCAATATACGAGATTGTTTTAAAGTAACGAAATTTGCAGTATAATTATATTGCACTTCTTGTATATATATATAAAGCCATCAACATGCAAGAGGACTTTCTGGAGCAAGCATGAACTCTTCAGAGGACACAGCGAATCATGTTCAGCATTTAGTTACGTGTCACCTCAACTCCGACGACCATCGATTAATGGTATCGTTTCCCTCGAACCTGGCATTTTCGATCCACCTTACTGCTTGTATACTTAGCGCAATCATCTCGGTAGCAACGATATGCCTAAATTCGTTGGTCGTGCTGACATTCTGGCGAACCCCTCCTCTGAAGGAAAAGGACTCCTTATACCTCGTCATGATTCTTTCCATGGTGGACGCCGGAACAGGAATCTTCTGCTACCCATCACTAACGTTATCATTGGCAACTGATTTGATGGGTATTCCACAGTGTTGGATAACTCACGTCCAATCAAGATTATTCATGTTTACAAGCGTGCTCTCCCAATCAATTGTTTCAACTATCAGCACAGAACGATATCTGGGCGTCGTTCATCCATTCTTTCATCGCACAAAAGTTACAAAGGATAAACTTTTGATGGTCTTGCTTTGTTTTTGGTCGATTTCCACATTAGTGTTGGTGCTAGATGTTTTTGTCCACGATGCATTTCAATTTTTCGCAACATTCAGCATTACATCGCTCGTTCTGAATACAGTATTCGTATACACGGTGATCGCTTTCGTTGCGGTGCGTTCAAAGATGAGACAATGTGAAGGACAGATACACGTCAATTCAAATAAGGAAGGTCAAGAAAACGATGATCGAAGAAAAAGTCTAAAGGCCAAGCTGTACTTTCTAAAACAACTAAAATTAGCAAAGTCCTGCTTCCTTATTGCCCTTAGTTATTTGATGTGTTACATGCCAACGCTGATTGTTTTCGGTGCCATGCCGAATAGTCTTGAAGACGTAACATTTTCTATTGCTTCACGATGGTGTTTGCTGTTTTTAATGTGTAATTCTATTGCCAATTCTGTTATCTTTTTCTGGGGCAGCGCAGCGTTAAGAAAAGCAGCGACAGTCGTTCTCAGAAGTATGTATAGGTAACTAAGAGAATTATCAAAAACAAGCATAGGAGGATGTTACTCGAACTAGAAATTGTTTGTTGCCAGCATATACGGCATAAAATTGTTCATTGTTGAAAAAAATTTAGGAAGTTTTTTGGGTGTATAACCACGTACGCTTAGGCTTTCAAGCATGGACATACTTCACGCTTTCTCCTAAAATTTGTTAAATATGTAAATATATATACCAAAATTTGTTCTAAAAACATGAATGGGACGAAGAAATGTCGGCTGACAATTGTTTCATATAGGTAGCCTAGCCAAGTAGCTATATACGTCGTAGTAAAAATTTTAAAGTTTTTTCGATTTCGAATATTGAATTGCTCTGTTGCTGGATGGCGACTGAAAGTAACTTTGTACAATTTAAATGTTTTATTCTACAAACCAAGATTTCTGACATAAAATATCTGGTACCCGATTAGTTGTCTTTGTTGGCCATGTAGGGCTATAACTTTGTTGTATATTGCACAAAAGTAAACGAATAAAAAATGAAAAGAAATGTAATGGAGTAGGCCTCATATATTGCGGCAGTTTATGACGCGAAAAAAATCACATCAATTACAGGGCGTGCTGTTTCTTTATATAATCGAAAGCAACCATAAATTGACATCAACTGAATTGTTGCGAATAATCATGCAATGACACATTCAGTTTTTTGCTTATCGCCAGCCCAGCCTCGTTCCCAGGCTCTTGGCAGTATTTCGCGGTACAGCACTGAGCGCTTCCCCAAGCATCCCCGCGCGCTCAGTGCTGTACCGTGAAATATGTTGGTTGGATCCGAGCTTGCAACTACTAAAACTCAATTTTGAAAACTCTGATATCGATTATTCAACAATTATTCGCTGAAGGCGAGGTGCATGAATATCGCACGATTATCGCTGAATAATCGATCTCGTAGATCATGATATTATTTTAACAAAACTGGGATGTATGGGATTAATATGTCTTTTTGGTTATGGTGTCAGAGTTTTCTGACCAACCGAACACGGAAAGCTAAAGTCCTAAATGTTCTGTCCAGAGTGGAAGCAGCACCAGCTGGTTTTCCTCAGGGGGCAGTTATCTCTCTTAGCTATTTAACATTTATATATTAATTATATATAGGATGATATATGGAAGATTGTATTCCAAGTGGACTTTTAAACAATGTGAATATACTGATGTTTATTGCTATATGAACTCATACCTACTGGATTAAACAGTAAAATGCAGGAAGTATTACATTTATTGGAAGAATGTGCTGTTCAAAATATAAAATGCAGATAAATATCAGGTTTTACGAGATCAAACTTAGCTCCCCAAAGTATGAGCATGCGAAATGAAACGATTGAAAGAGTAATAAAATTAAAAATTTTTGGAGTTACCATGAAAAACGATCTTAAATGGGAATCACACGAGGGCTTGTATCTTTCGAGTGATATAGGACTACCTATATTGCACAAAGATAAGACCTATATATACTGGAATATGATTTAATTCGATATCATTATCTTACCAAAAAACAAAATCGAGTCACTTGCACCAAGAAGAAATTATTTAACAAGTAAAGAAAGAGTATGAAAACAAATTAATTTCAGAAAATCACCCATGCATGCAAGAGACTGATTTGTAGAATTTAAAGTAAATGAATATAATATAAGAACATGCAAATTGTAACCCACTTTTAGCGCCTTTTTCATCTACAGATAACACAATCTTTTATAGCGAGAGCTGCCTGCATGGTTGAAATATAGTATAATAACTATATAATAATAACTAAAATTGTCATATTTGCATGTATATTTTAGGAAGTATAGTTTTCTCTTTATAAATATAGTTAATGAAGATTTTTATACAATTTTACATATCTTTATATTTATACTGATGTAAATTCTAATATTATAATTTTGTGATACCGTTGTAATTCTTTTGCCAAAGACGGTAAATAAAATCTATTATTACTATAACTCTGGAGTAAATTGTCTTTCAATGCATGATGATGGATGCATGCATGAACTTTATAAGTTATATAAAATTATTTCGAAAATATGTGCATGCCATATAATTTGGATGCATTTGGATTTCCATTATGTACTTTTTGTTAAAAATATTGCCACATAGTATTACAAATTATAGATATGGCCATATATATTATAAAAAATAGGTAAATAAATAGCTTAACGTCCACATTTCTACGGCGATGTTACACTGTGCAACTTTCCTAGCAACATGCCAACCTGCAATGTAATTTTACTCCTGAGGCATCTAAGGTTGACAAATACAAACACTGAATTCTTACGATCTGATAACGTTTTTTTAGCATTTCGAACACTCTTTAGAAATTAACATCTAATATATATTTTACGATCGATTTTTGCTCAATTTTCTTTTCAATCATTGTGACTGGTCAAGGGGATCCGCTACGATCGAATTCTCACATTGAAAAGCAATTCAGGAAAATCCTAATGCATGAATATCCAAATGTGATCAATAAATAAATTAAAATCTATCCTCTTCTTCTATCAGTATACCTAGAGGCTATACGCCTGGGGCCGGTTGTTCGAAAGATGGATAACTTATCCAACGGATAAGTCCTATCAAACGGATAAATCTGCTATCCAGTGGATAGTTATCCGTTGGATAAAAACGCGTTGCACGAAGCGTGGATAGTGAAGTGGATAGCTATCCAATAGATAAGTTAAAATTTACCGGAAGAAAATAGGATTATCCTGAAATTTCGTACCACAACGTCAGCTGTTGCTAAGCATTTACAACATTGAATTCATAATCATTACGAATTCTCGAGTATAGTTACTGAATGGAAAAGACTTGAACAAGTGATTTGCTCGAACTTTGCACTTCACATCATAGTGATTTTATTAACTATAAACACATTGCAATTTTATTCCTTGACCTTGCAACGCTTTGCCTTTTGGTTCCATATAGCAAATTTAGGAACACTATTTTAATGTTCGTGAATGAAATTACTTAGATATTAGCAAGTTTCCTTGGAATAGGTTGAATCTTTCTTTGCATATTCGCGTTTATAAACTGATTAGAAGCGTATAGTAAATTTACCACCTGTTATAAATGCGAGGATCTCCAAAAAATCGCCGCTCGGAACGGAATGTGTAGGCAACGCGGTGAAACGCTGCTGCGACAAATTGCACTTCGAAAACATTTCTAATAGTGAATACAATCATGATGTGTATTAGTTTGTTGAAACACAGTAACAGGAATATGGCATTTTGTCCTATTTTATATAAATGTTTACAGTGTTACCTTGTATCTTTGAATTTATCCACCGGATAGTGGATTTAAACCACCTCCGGACCTTGGATAAATTTATCCGGTAGATAGCGATTTTTATCCGCTGGATAAAGTTATCCAAGCTTCGTGCAACGCAAATCACACGCTGGATAAAACGTATCCGTTGGATAGCGACTTATCCGTTGGATAGCGACTTATCCACCTTTCGAACAACCGGCCCCTGCATGCTATCTTATTAGCATACATATATCGGTCGGTCTGGCTGCTTTGTTCTTATTATATCTTTACACAATCAACGCATAGAATATATGCGTTATTATTTTAATAGCTTAAATAGTAATAGCTCTGTTGATAACCTGTTAGAACAAAACGGATTAAATATTTAATATTTTTACAAATGAGCAGCGTGCAAAATCCTATATTGCCTTTTCTGCTATTGAATTGGCTGTGCAGCGGGCGAAACTTTACGATATCTGACCACGATCCGCGGAATCTATATATATTTTATGCTTGCGCGAAACCTACTCGTTATTTTAGTTTTCCTGAAAATTCTGGTGACCAGTCTGGTAATTTTTATTACTAGATTCGGTTGGATGCACGTAAACAGCCAGAAAGGAGCGTCAGACAACACTTTGAGCATGCATATATATATATATATATTAATATATATATATATATATATATATATATATATATATAATATATATATATATATATATATATATATATATACATATACATATATATACATATACATATATATATATATATATATATATATAAATATATATATTTATATATATATATATATATATATATATATATATATATATATATATATATATCCAAATGTAATTGTTTGTAATGGATAAAAGAGTGCTCAATACTAATTACAAGTAGAGCGAGTCATTTATTGAATTTATCTTAAAATATTGTCGTCGCTACACGGTGTTTCACGCCTGACCTTTTACAGTCAGACGATCTTCAGGCGACAAATACAGGATTGAGTTCAATCATGGTTCAATGTTTGCTTGCGACGCATCTTCAACGGTCTGCTGACGCGCGCTCGCGCGCTTAGATGTTCGCGCCCCATTCTGCGTGCGTTTAAACCGCCCCGCATTGAACTTGTTCCGGTGGCAGCACTTCGAGAACAGTTCGCTTCTTTTGTTCAAGAATTTACTATGGTCTGCTTGTATTATGCATAGTTTTTCTGAAAGGCATAAGTTGCAGCACTTTTTACCAGCAGTGCGGGGGGTGGCGCGTTTCAAAATTGACCAGTTGATCTTGAATGGTTTCCCACTCGTCTTAAGTTTCCAGACATGTTTCGACAGTTCTGTGTCTGTAGCGTAGCGTTCGTTGTTGATAGATCTCTTGTGATTCCTGTAGTGTTCTTTGAAGGTCGTAGCCGATCTTTGCCGACAAAACAAGAAACATCTACGAAGCTCCCCCAGAAGACTACGAAAAGCTCTTAACAGAAAACATCACAAAAGCATATAAAATTGGAACTGATAACTTTACCGAGGACATTAACGCTGAGCTGAAGAATCTCTCTAGTCTAATCGGAGATCGAGTTGAAACGATGGCAAGAAAGAACGCGTTTATAACTCTAAAAGATCACAAAGAAAACTTCAACTCGAACCTAAAATGCCGTCTCATTAACCCTGCAAAGAGCGACCTCGGGAAGGTCAGTAAAGTTATACTTGATAGCATCAACAACAGAATTCGACCCATTATTAACGTGAACCAATGGAAAAACTCACAATCCGTGATCGAGTGGTTTCAATCAATCGAGAATAAGCCCAACCATACCTTTCTCTCATTTGATATTGTCGAGTTTTACCCATCTATCACAGAAGACCTCCTCGACCGAGTTATTACATGGGCAAG